TATGTTCGCGACTTCGCCCATATTGTGCAAGATACTAAATTCAATAATAAAACCTTGATGAACCAGAGCTAGTCGCTGCTTGCTCGTTTCTACTCTCATCAACATCTCTCTTGCTAAATGCAGACCTTTCCCTCATATTTCCTTTTCTTCCTCCTTGTATTGCAGCCTTTGCCTAATAAAAAAATAATAGAAGATACGCTTCAAATATCAGCCATGTAACAAAAAATCCTCTTCACATCCATATTAAAGTGAGTTTTTAAGTCTTATTACATGACTTGAGAAAGTATATTAGGTTGTGTGGAAAAATTTCGTTCTTTAATAGTTTGAGAAGCTCTTTCCTTGAGATACACATCAATTAGAGTTTGACAAATTTACCTACTTTTATCGACATAGTTCCGCAGAATACATTATTCACGACTCGAGAGACAAAAAACAAAGGCATGCACATTAATTGATATGTGTGGTAACCTCAGCAAGATTTGCTTCACTATCTTCGAGAACCGCACTAAAAGTTCTCTCTTGAAGTCCCAGCCTCGATTTTGCAGTTCTAGGAGAACCCGAATCTTCACTCGGACCACGATAAACAACTGTGCCACTGATGGAAGTATCTTCAGTAGAGGCGAGTGTCCTGCTAGACTGAAACACCAAAAAAAAAAATAAAAAATAAAAAAAAAATAATAATAATAATAAATCTCATTTCTTAGTTTATAGAATGACATATAACTAAATGCTAGTAAAAAAATAAACGCAGTTCTTTTATCTCGTACCGTGAAAGTTTGGTTGCTGAATGGAGAGGAAGGCCGAGAGGCTCTTGGTGATCGTATCACTACTGTCCCTGTCCCACTGATATCTTCCTATAAACAGTAACAATAAATCCAAATTTATTGCTCGACATTCATATGGATTTTAAGAGCATGTTTGTATACAAAAATTTTCACTCAAAATTTCATTCAACTCAAAATCTAAATCAACTTTAACTCAACTCCAATATCCTCGTTATTATCAATATAATTAAATAATATCATGCTGTCATTCATTCTTACACATCACATCTACTTTAATTCACTATTCATCCACTCACATATAATTTTAACTAACCATCACTTCATATCATCCCTCTCCTACTTTTACATCATCAACAACAACAACAACAACATAGCCTTTAGTCCCAAGCAAGTCGGGGTAGGCTACAGATGAAACCCAAGAGAAACATTATTTTATATCAAATCAACTTTAATTATTTTATTTTAAATATAATTTTAATATAAATCCAAAATCCAACTAATTACCATCTTTTTCCAAATTAACTCTCTAGTTAACAAAAAAAAATTCACTTTGAGTGAAAATTTTTGTATACAACCATGCTCTAAATTTTTAAGCTAATCCATGATAAGAACTTATTTACTTCTGGAAAAGAACTTATTTTTATATCTGGGCACTGAATTTAAAATATGAAACTTTCATTTTATCATCAAGTGCTAATATCCTTCTGGAAAAAAATGAACTTTCTCCATATAAATTCACTTCTAATTCCTAGTCAAATTTTTGGACTAGGCCTGAGGTAAGATAACTCCATAAAAACAAAATAACAACATAAATACATCAAAAAGGATAAGAATACCATACATCTTCATCATATTTATCCAGCTTCATTGTAAAGTTAGAATCTTTCCTCAACTCTGATGAAGTACGTGCCGTTAATCCAGAAATTTTTTCGGGTGTGGATTGGTTCAATGGGAGCTCGGGTTTTCTACTCCGCATCTGAGGAGGCTTTACTATACTTCGTACAGTTCCAGTCCCAGTTGATCCACCAATACTGAAGTCCCATCCAGTATTCTTCAGACTGGCCGATGATGACATCAGCAAAACGTTCACCAAACACACAAATTGGGATTTTCGAACATTATTAACAGATTCAACTGACCTGGCCCGAATAGTGTTTTCTGCTGCAGAATCTTTAGTCACTTTAACTGTTCCGGAAGCTTCCCCAACTGCAGTTGGGCCATTATTAGTTGCCTCTTCGTCGTTGTGGAACTTGGGGCGATCCCTGAGTGGGAAAAATTTTTTAATGTTTTATTTTTTATTTTTTTTTGGTGCGAAAACTGAAAACTGGAATTGCATTTTCGCCCGAAAACGAACCAAACCTGATTTTCTCGAGAAGCCTTGGACTCTTCCTAGCATTTCTGATAAACCGATGCTTGAGAAGTTCTTTTGCACTCGGCCTCTGTTGGATAATAAACAGAAGAAAATGATGANACGAGCGAATGAAGGACAACAATAAAGTACAAGAAAGCTACCTCGGCTGGATTCTTCTTCAAACACAATGACACAAATTCTTTAATTGGACGAGAAAAATGCTCATCTAGCTGTATATACAGAAAATAACGTTGATCTCTGTAAATTACAGAAGTTATACAGAGGCGAATTTATCTAAAATCACTGGGAAGACGGTCAAAAGTAAAAACCTGTGGTGGATTTTCTCGGGGAATAATGAAAAGCACTCTCATAGGATGAAGGTCTGCAAGTGGAGGTTCTCCTTTCGCCATCTCAATAACAGTTATTCCCAAAGACCAAATATCTGCCTGTTTCGAGCCATAAATTGAAAAGGGGGAAACAGAATAATTTTATGACAATTGTATAATGTAACCAGAACAGTGAAGTTGTATGGAGAATCCATGAATAATTGGTAAAATTTAAAAGTTACCTTCTCATTGTATCCTTCCGAGTTTTGAATTACTTCTGGGGCCATCCAGAATGGTGTTCCTACGAAAGTCTGACTTTTAATTGAATTAGATAGGTTTGATGGCTCCTTGAACATTTCATCTTAGCTTAAAATAAAATCAAGAAAGAATAGTGTAATCTGAAGTCCAAAACACATTATATTTTAGAATGGTAAGCGGAAAAAGGCAATAAATGTTCATAAAGTAGTGATGAGTGTCTTAATTGGTGCCATATCAGCATATTCCACGTGTTCTCGTAAGTTTATGTAAATTAGATCCAACTCTTCAAGAGCATATAATGAGCAGAGTTGAGAATGAGACACTTCACATTTTCACAGGGCTTTGAAGAGGGTAAATGGAAAAACTCGGTTTGTACCAACGGAAAAGAAAGAAATATGTTTTCAACGAAAAACTGATCCTAAGAAAAAGATAATGATACCTTCCTTCTCGATATAGTCCGGGTTAATTGAGCAGAAACGCCAAAATCTGCAACCTGTATCACATGGAATAAAATAGTAAATGTAATCAACTGCTAGCCGCTAAATTCAACTGCCAAAAGTTAACATCGATAAAATAGTATGATTGTGTAAATAATGATGAATTTTTTTCAGAAGCCACAAAATCGTACCTTAACATCGCCATTCTCAGTCAACAAAATGTTTGCCGCTGCCAAAAGATTATATAAACATTATTTTGATGTATTCCGGAAAATGAAAGAAGAATAGTTAATCAGGTCTTAAGGTCAATAAAGTGGCTCGAGCTGCTGTATGATACCTTCATATGAAGATTGAAGAACAAACTGTCACAGATCAAATTTAATTTCCCTTGAAAAACAAGAACTCTGCATGATGACCAAGTTCAGATAAACTAAGTTATATGCCCCTAAAAACAAACCTTTGATATCTCGATGAATTTTCCCTTCACTGTGGAGATAGTCAATTGCATGGAGCAAATCTCGTAAAATACAAGCTATTGAAACTTCATCCAATGGCTGGTTTGGTTGAATCTGCAAGTGATGAAAAGTATAGACGCTCAATCTGTCAATCTGTGTTAAAGATCATTCTGTAAACAGAAGATATACGCAAGAAAAAAATTGCACTTAGAGATAACAATCACTCCATTATATACTATGTCAAATTTGAAATTGACAAAAGACAAATGAAATTATCCAGAAATATTCTGGGTTTTCGAAATTCTATGCAGACAAAAAAAGTGAAACAAATAAAATAATTTCATAAATCAACTACCAGATCAGCAACTGAGCCACCAGCCATGTATTCCATTATTATCCACAGCTTCGTTTGATGCAGAAAAGAACCATAATAATCGGTGATATATGGAGATCGACATTCTTGAAGAACGGCAATTTCCTATTGATAGAAAAAAAAAAAATATATATATATATATATAATGAGATTCATAAAGCGTTGTAAATATAAATCCACATACAAACTTAAAGGTACCTTTTGGATGTCCTCTATTTCATCCTCCCTGTGGAAACACAAACAAACAGCACATATTATATTTCAGAATAACAACACAAAAATCGGTGCACAGTGCAAAAGGTTAAAGTAGTATGAATAGGGTCAGGAGGCATGATAATTAATTTTTTACAAACCAATTTATTGCAACTTACATAGCATTTTTGGTACTAAGTATGTACCAGCATTTCTGAAGTTATAAACTTATTCCAATTTATAAACCCAATAACAAACGATGCATGGAATTTCATAATAATTAAAATATTGTACAGTAGCCATATAGATCCGGCTTATATACTCACGATTCTTCTAAATCAATGACCTTAATGGCAACCTCTTTGTTTAATTCCTTATCGAATCTGCACGAGCAAAAAACGACAAATAGAATAAATTAATCAGCGAACTTTTTATACATTAAGACTTTTAATAAGTAACATTCAAAAAGAAAGAATATATTAATGCAAATAGATGAAATCTATGATGCTAAAGAGGACTTCATCACGAAATTCATATAATTGTTGTCTTTTACACGTCTTTATGATGCTCTGAATATCTTCTTCCTAAACTAGCAATCTACATTGGATAGATTCTTAAAGTTTTCAGCATTGCTTATTTTAGAAATATATTTATTCAGTTTGCCAGCCATTGCCATGTGCTCGATGGATATATCCGCTATCACTATGTATGGGCCTTTCAAGACATCGAGTAAATTAAATGACATATTTAACAATATACAATTTAGTCAGAGATTGGTGATCTCCCTAAAATAACTTAACAAGGAACCAAAGCAACAAAAGTCTCTATCGTATTCAGACAATCCCATAAAGAATCCTATGTTTCAATCCGCATATAGCAGTATAATCCAAAACAAGTTGTAAGAAGTGCACTCTTTTGAACCTAACATTTATTCAACAAAATTAGCACAGAAATATAAAATCATCATTATGTTAATCTTATTCTTGGTTAGTCATCTAAGCTTGATAAATGATGACATAACGGGAAGATATTATAGTAACTACTTTAAAGGCAACATCTTCATGCACGAAAACAAAAAATGCGAGTTATTATCTACTCTTGCATTACGTATTTGACAAGGCAGACGAACAAATAATATAAAGTACCCATTTTGATTTCTTTAAAAACTGAAAGCTGCTAATGTAATGAATCTTAATATATCCAACGGCAACTACACATTTGAAGGAGGTAAGAAATCACATAATGGGATTTCATGGGGCACGACACAAGTGAACTACACTGCAAGAAAGAGAGTAAACGAGTATCGAGTTTACACTAAATCATATCCATACCCCTTGTAGACATCCCCAAAAGAACCTCTTCCAATTAGCTCCAAATTGCTAAATCTCGACCCTGAAGCCTCAATCAGGGCCTCTGCATCTGCCATTGCACAATTATTCTGACAGCAGAATATTCTCACTTCCTTACAGTCTTCACTGAATAAACAAACTCCAGAGCCAGATTAACAAATTCACTCAGTAACTCAAGATTTTGGCAAAAAAATCATCTCATTGTCTTGCAACAGCCACTCCACCACAAAAACATCCAAAAATCTGAGGGAAAAAAAAACATTCGAAACAAACCAAATTTAATAAGACGGAAGCAACACTCGAGATCCAGGCACATTAGTAGTCTGGTAACCAAACTGTAACATGAAAAAATGAAGGCAGCCCATAAGATGAACCACCAGAGTTAGGTAAAGTGGGGGATTCTAAAGTGACGGCACAACAAATTTCATAGGAATTATTCATAAAAATTGTGTCTTTATTTATAATTTCCAAAGCCGACAAAATAACAGCGAGATTGCCAAACAAATACGCGTGGAGTAACTTCAGATGTGAGGCATAACATAGATTTTTCGCTTTACGTATAAAAATGGAAGCTTTAAATACTGGAGAAAGAATACTGACCTCGCCGCCACTACCGATTTGAGGGATTGGTTTCAAGATTCACAGGGCCCAGAAGGAAATTTACAAATTAATTGGCAAAAAAAACAAAAACACTAGGGAAAATCAGAGACCCTCTTCTTGAATGGATGATGTGTATACATACAGTTACATACAGACAAGTAAAATCCTTTTATTTATCTGCTCCTTCGTTTCTGGATTTTGCAGGGTTATAAAGGATCGATAAAGAACAGTGTTGCTTCTTTCTAAAAAAGACACGAAATACAGATGTAAATCTTACTGTCATTAAGGAAAAATAATTATATTTTATTCAGTAAGGATTAATTATTTCGATTTTTATGAATTGGGTTGGGTGTAACCGGGTTGGATATAATTATATTTATATGCACTTTTTTATTTGAATTTTATGACTTTGAATAACAATTGTAAGATTTAAATTTTGAGATTTCTTACCCTTTTTTTCTTTCCTTTACTGATTTTGAACATCTCATGGCTTTATATTATAGAACTTTATAAAATCAATAAAGGATACTATCAAACTTTTAAAATAAAAAAAAAGGTTAAAAAAATTAAATTCATGCAAATTCTTTTAAAATTTCAAAAATTCTTACAAGCTCTAAGGGGACGCTTGTTTATGGAATAGTTTGTTCAAAATGAGTTATTTTGGTTAACCATAGTTAATTTTGAAAAATGTTGTATGATTAGTTGTTAGTGGAATTTTAAGAATCTATTAAAATAATATTTAAAATAAAATGATTAAAATTGATTTGATGTAAAAGTAGGAGATAAATGATTGAAAATGATTGGAAATGATAAGTAGTTAAAATTATATGAGTGGATGAATAGTGAATTAAAATTGATGTGATGTGTAAAATGATTGGTTTATATAATTTAATTATATGAATAATATTAAAGATAGTGGAATTGGATTAAAGTTGAGTTCGCCTTTTAGTATGAATTGAATGAAAATGAAATAATTTATAAACAAGCATGCCCAAAATTAACACACCATTTGTTTAACTATTTCGAGTATCAGTTTGAATAGTTAAAATAAACTGTGTTTTTTATAATCTATAATTATATTAAAAGGTATACCATTTACCAAATTTAGTATAAAGAAAAGTCAACAACATTTATTGCATTACTATTTCCGTATTATACAATCTATACTTATATAAAAGGAGATTCTATTTACTACATTTACTATCCAGAAAAGTCAACTGCATTAAATGCCATTACTATTTTGGTATTATAATATTTTATTTATTTAATTGATTTATTTATTTGTTTTATTTTAAAAAGGTAAGTATAATAAAAAGATTTTAATAATAAAAAAATCAAATACCAAATAAAAATGTACACTTTGACTTATTTGATTATATTTGGTACTTGATTATACCAAATATATTCCTATTTAGTATATACATTAAATACTTACTAAAGTATTTATTTGTTTTATTTATCAAAGTTAAGTATAGATTTGTTTATATTATTAAATCATAAAAAAATATTACATCCATATTGTAAAAAAAAAAAATCATATAATTTTATAACAATTCTACTACACTATTTAACAATATTTCTTTTTTATTATATAATAAAATAATAATTAAATATTATGTGGTGAACAACAATAAGTAAAACTGTTACTTTCTCTTATATCAAGGGATAAATTTATATGCTAAAATTAAAATTTTATTAGTATAAATGTTTTAGTGAGATAATATATTAATTATTTTACAAGCTAGCCCTAACATGTCATATTTAATGTTTTAAAAGATGTAGAAAAAAAACTTATAATAACTCTATTGTTTTTTAGACTTAAACGTTGATTAAAAGAGGTAAAAAATTTTAATTTTTTAGACTTAAACGTTGATTAACACCATAGATTGAGAGTTTATATTTAGTAAAATTCCTAATTGTAATAAAAAACTAATTTTTGTTGTATTTTAGAATATCTTTAAATTCATTATAAAAAAAACGAAAAAAACTACAATGAAAAAAGCAAGTCAGTTATATATTGATTTGTTGTACTCCTCAAATCACATTCACAATTTGGCTACAAGGAAAAGAAATTCATTGATTAAAATATTATTTTGTCAGTAGTCTTAATTAATGTACAAGAGACTTTAAGACTCCACTTGAATATTATAAAACTTTTATTGAACATTGTACAATTTTGTTGCGTATTATAAACTTTTATTGAATATTGCATCTTATAATATAATATTCTCCAAATAAATATATCTCGTGTTTCGCACGGGTCACGTACTATATATATTCCGTATATTTTTCTTTATTCATGTATATAATTATAAGCCTGGATAAATAGCCTTAAAATTGTGCACCCCGTGCATCGCACGGGCTCTGTACTAGTATAAACTTAACGTTTTGCTAAAATTAAGTTGATTTGATTGGATTAGACTATAGGCTATTAGACCATCTTTAACGGTGACCCCATGAGTTGGGTCACCAATTAAAAATACAAAAAATATAAAAAAAAAAAAAAGAAAAGCAAGGAAGGTCACAAAAAATGAGTGACCCAGGTCACATTGTGACCTTGGGTCGCGACCCGTGTAGTGTTTGGAGTATGGGACATTTGTCCTATTTTGATTGGATAAGTGTATTTTTTTTTGTTTAAAAAAAATAAAAATGATATTAAAGTTCGTATTTTTTCATTCTCTACAAATAGAGACCACACTTGATATATTTTGGTATAAAATTGTAATTTTTAAATAAATTAAAATAAAATAAATATTTAGGTTGAGTTAGGTTGGGGATAAAGATAAATTAAGTTGTAAGGTTGAGTTGTGTAGGTGGAGGAGAGAGAAACAATTTTTAATTATTAGGTTGGGTTGGGTTGGGTTGGGGATAAGAATAGTCTTAATGAACTCAACGTTTCGCAAATAAAACTCGTCCAACTCATACTTATTTAAGTACAAGAGCTCATTTATTTATTAATCTGAGTTTGTTTCGAAAAAAAAAAAAAGTTATGCTCGTTTAATATCGGACGAGCTCGTTCGAGCATATTCTTATTTGACAAGAGCTCATTTATTTGTTAATCAAATTTCTTTCGAAAGAAAGTTAAGCTCGTTTAATATCGAACGAATACGAGTTCGTCAGTAAATTTTTAATGTTTACGAACATTAATTTAATATAATTTTTATTTTATTTTTATATAAAGTTTTTAATAAAAAATCTAAAATTTCTATTTTTGTTTTCAAGCTCGAACAAACAGACTCAAGTTATACAAACTATTTTAAAAGGCCAGATTACTACATTATTCAAATATGAAGGAACTTGAACTTTGACGAACAATTAAATGAACGGGTTCGAAAATAAATTTGTTGCTATATTGTTCGAACATAAACTAACATGACCTCAAAATGCGTAACTTTGAAATTTTGAAATTTTAACTACCATATGTCCAAAACACAAAAAATCCTAAGAACAGAGGTAGTAAAATTAAGTTGGGAAATTATTTCAGGAAATTTTGGTTCAGACACTATCATGACTGAAAAGGTCAACTCAAAACAGGTACTAAATATTACTAGTAATTATGATTAATTAACAACTCTATAATTGAGAGTTGAGACCACAAATTAATGAATTGAAAGGCTTAGTTTAGCTGCGTCTTCATGATATGGTCGGCAGTGCAAATCTTTTGTTACATCTCGAACTGATAATCTCTACATGAAACACAAAATAAGCCAATGTAACATATATAAAAGGGGAAGAAAGGGAAAAATAAACTTAAGTTTGATATTATTTGTAACTTGAATGTAATTGAATTTTTATGGTTGTCTATTGGTGATTATCAATGTGACGTTTTTTAGTTGTTAACGCATAATCGTCAACTTTTGAGAGTCGAGCCGCAGGAACACCAATGTATAAGTCATATACCAAATATTAAATCAATAGTCACAATTCAATAAGATGTTGTCATGTGCAAAGTTGATTGGAAATAGAAAGAATAGCTCGTAGTGCGATTCATTTTATCGAATAATCGGGATCTTGTTTGAGAAACCACAACTCGTAAGCACATTTTTTATAACTCGTAGCGCGATTCATTTTCGGGATCTTGTTCGAGAAACCACAACTCAGTAAGCATATTTTTATTTCTCGAGAAAGCAGAGATTCCGATTTTGATTTGCTATGTTCATGTTTCTTGTGCATGTTTAACAGCCATTTTCAAATATTAAAAGAGCTTCTGTAAAGATGTTCGTGAACTTGTTTCTTGCTCATGCTTGGGAATAATCGATATCTTGCTCATGTTGGGGAATAATCGGGATCTTGTTCGAGAAACCACGACTCTGTAAGCACATTTTAAATTCTCGAGAAAGCAAAAACTTCGATTTTGATTTGCGTGATGTTCTTGTTTCTTGTGCATGTTTGAGAGCAATTTTCCGAATATTAGAAGAGCTTTTGTAAAGATGTTCGTGAACTTGTTTCTTGTTCATGTTTGGGAGCACTTTTCCGAATAATAGTAGAGCTTCTATAAAGATGTTCGTGAACATAGGTGAACATTTCTCGACGTTCTCTATTCCTCTTGAGTGTACCATCTCGAATAGGGGTTCCCAAACACGACCCAAACGTCTTCCTAATTTCACACACATTCTTAGCAAGAAGAAGCATATGCAGATCTAGCCGGACCGACATTTTATAATGAGAAGTATAAATGAATATAGATATTTGTGAAAAAGATATGTAAACAAGGAAAAATACTGAAGTTCCTCTTAAATAAAACTCGAATACGACTACATCTAAAGATCCATATCAAACTAACTTAATAACTTAAAAATATAATGACTTATATCAAACTAACTTAATAACTTAAAAATATAATGACTTATATTATACGACTACATCTGAAGATCCATATCAAACTAACTTAAAAATACAATGACTTATATTAAATTGAGGAAATCATTCCCCACGAGACTTAGTTGTCCCGTAAAAAAGAATAACCCTTCATTTGCACTACACTAATTATGCCCTCAAAACAAATCCAAAACCAAAACCAAAATCAAAATGAATTGTTCATATTACTTCCCTTATCATTTTTAGAAGAGATTATAGTACCAAGACGCACCAATGTATCAAATCATACAACTCTCAATAAAATAAACCAAGTACTAAAACACACCAAATTCAATCAAAACCCTAAAAGCAAACAACAATAACCGATTCATACCCTAAAAGCCACGTGGTCGATCCCCCTTCTCCTTCTCCTCAGCCACCGTGTCCCGGAGGTCCTGAGCTGTCTTCCTTGCCGAGTCCCACATGTCGTCGGCTGTCCGTTTCGCAATGTCACCGAGCTTCATCCCCGTCTCCATGGCCCCAACGAACCCTGCCTTGGCGGTCTCCGCCAAGGACCTTGCCACGTCACCGGCAGGGTCGTTATCCTTCCCTTGGCGGTGATCGTGGGGCCTACCGCCATGCGGGCTCTCGACCGTCTGGTTTATGGTGGTGGAGGTTTCGGGACCACCATAGCCACCTTGAGACCCTTCTAGGGTTCCGCCTTTCAGGCTTAGCTTCTCAGGTGGCGTGCCACCCTGGAAAGTTTAATTTAATTTAGGGATCAAATTAAACTAGTTGTGGACTATTTTCTCTATTTCAAAATAAATGTTGTTCTACGAACAAATAAGGCATCATATAATGTCGTTATACAAACATAACAAAACAAGATTTTTCTCTATTCAAAATAAATGTCATCATATATAACAAAACAAGATTTTTCTCTATTCAAAATATATATGTCAGTTCTACAAACAAATAAGGCATCATATTGCATCATATAACGTCGTTATACGAACATAACAAAACAAGATTTTTCTCTATTTCAAAATAAATGTCGTTCTACGAACAAATAAGGCGTCATATAATGTCGTTATACAAACATAACAAAACAAAATAAGGCATCATATAATGTCGTTATACAAACATAACAAAACAAAATAATGACGTGTTCGAAAATTTTTAAAGGATGACATTTCTTATGATAAATATACATTTTCTTTGAAAATATTTTTGCAGAATAAGTATACATTTTTGGTGAGGTCCCACATACAATGTTATCATGTAACATATAACATTTCCCTTTTAAATATGACTCTTAGAAGTTAAACCGTGGTGTGGTTATTGCATGACGCCATTGGCATCGCTCATTCCGTTACTGAGGCTTAGGCTTCGGCCTCCTTTCTTTCGTACNTTTCTAAATCATATATTTATTTAACTTCCAGGAGAATCAAGATTTTTTTTTTTTTCTCAATGGTAAATTTAAATTATGACATTCTCTTAAGTCTTAGACTTTTTTCCATGTAGAGATAATTGGAATAATAGTTTAAAACGATAATTTGAAAACGAAAATTCTAACCTAAAACAACAAACGGCATTTAAAACAAAAAAATCGAATCTAAAATTGTGTCATCGCCCTTTAAGAATAGCAGCGGTGGAATACTTTCTCAAACTTTCTAAGCACTTGCATTAGATAAACATATTATTAATTTCAAGATGTCACAACATATCACACAAGAAACAAAATAATTGCCGTCAAAAATTAAAAAAAAAAAATATATATATATATATATACGTATTTTTACCTTAATTACAGTACTGAAAAAATATGTGATGGAAGGCTGATAATTCCGACGATTGGCGCTGAGAACAACTTTTCTGGTAATAAACATTGTATTAATTTGCCTGTAAATGGAAATTTCGATGGATTGTTTGAACAATTTTAGAGTGTGTTTATATAATGACAGGTAATAACAACGGCGGTTGGAGCAGGCGCCACGTGTTGACGGTAACGTAGTGTACGAGCCACACGTGTAAAGAAATGTCGCCAAACGGGACACGTGTCATTGCATGAGAGTTTTGACTTTTGATGGGTGGACATGACCGATTACTCCTCTTCATAATTTCATTAGGCTGGGAAGTCTTGTGATTATTAAAGAAATTAAAAAACCACAAGATTTTTAAAATTCAAAAGAATCCACTCGGTGCTATGAGCAGATAACCTCCTAAGACGTAAGTGAATACAATCGAGTCGACTCGAGCTGAGTCGAGCAGAACTGATAAATAAACTAAGATAAGGTATTTTTTTTAAAAAAAATTATAGATCCTTCTATTTTTGAACTTCAGCGAATTAAATCCTGATCATTAATTAAACAAGTTTCAAATGGACTTAAGTTCAACTCGTTTATCAAACGAGTCGAGCCTTAATGAAATGAGTAAAGTTCATGAGCAGCTCGTTTCATTTAATTGAAACAAAAATGCTCTTACACCAACACAATTCAAGGTTGCATCACATATCACATAATGTAAACATATATAATGATCTAAGGGTAAAATACATGAAGTAAAGAACATTTTAATGTATCCATATTCGATAGATAAGCAATTTCGAGATTATAATTTATTTTAACCTATTAATTTAATTTATTAAGTATACTTTGGAATAGTGTTTGTCGAAACAATTAGCAAATACGTCGGACTATTTTACATGTGTACAATCATTTTCAAATTATAAAACTGAAAGAGTTATATTTTTGGCAATGAAGTTCAAAAATTAATATAAGTGAAGATATATTCTTGCAAGCATGAAACATAAAAAGGGAAGTTCTTTTATTTATATTTATATTTATATATTCGAATATATTTATATTTATATTTATATATTCGATTTATATACATATATATTAGATTTACATGATCTTATTATGGATATATTTTGTAGGAAATCATATAAGAAGGAAAGATCTTTGGAAAGAGAAGATAGAGATCTACACCTACCATATCTCTTATGATTTACATGGAAGGAAATTGAATAAACTTGGAAGGAAATAAAAAAGGAGTCCTATACTTGGAGAACACTCCACATCCTAGGGATTGTATATATACCTGCTTGAAGAACGAATTTTGGAGAGCTGAAATCATTATCTTCCATTCAATATTCGAGCTTCAAGCCTTTTAGGTTTTATTTTCGTTGTTCAGTTTTCGGTGTTCTTACGACATCGAAGAACTGAAGTCTTTTGTTTTGATTCTTTTGTTTTTCATTCAAACACTTGTGTGATCAGTGCTTAGGGATTAAGTACTGTCTTTAGCTCGAGGGATTCGAGAGGTAAAATCCACGGGACGTGGTCGGAGAAGTAATTGATAGAATCGTGTGTAGTTGTGGCTAGGCTAGAAGGGAGTTCGAGTCGTGTAAGTCCAAACTATACAAGTGTGCACAAACGGTTTATCAATGAAAGAGCTCTGAGGGGAAATGGGACGCTTCCCTGAAGAGTTTTAAATCTTCGATTTATTGCTTCCGCATTTTATAATTTTTGTTTTAGTTCGTACTACAATTAGCGCACTCCGTGACAAATACCTACGTTTCAAAAACAATACGTAAAACATTCATAAACAATTTATAAATCAAGAAATATTGCAGCTTATAGCTCAAAAACAAAAATAAACCAAAAATCAACTATTCTTAACCTGATGAAGTAAATATAATTCGTAGTTAAAAGTTAAGACTCCATAAATGGGAACAAAAAAGGGATTTGTACGTAAAAGGTGTAATTTTTTCGCTAGACTAAGCATCTACAATGCTCTTAGCCTATGTACATGAATCATGATAAAGTAATATTTGCATTGTAATTAATTTAGTTACTTATATTAAATTTTATTCATATCATATAAGACTTATGTCTATATATATGTTACATAAGTAAAAATAGATCCAAAACATTGTGGATGTTGCAAGTCTCAAAACTGTTGTGCTTTTTATGTCCTTGGTGAAGCTATTTTCAGTAAATGTCTTGTTGGGTTCGGCCCAAGTGTAATCTGAAAATCTTGATAGGTTCGGCCCAATTATAAACCCCAACATAACAACGATAATCATCAGTAAAGTTCGTATACGAGATGTATTAAATTATGAATATTCATAAAATATTACATTTTACGAAAAGAAATACTAGGTGTTGTAAAATTAAAAAACACGTGCAGGACATAAATTGAAAAGATTTTTTATCCATTTATTTATTATTTAGTTGTTACAGGACCAAGAGTGTGTATTCATTTAAAATTCTTAAAAACTCATTGAGACTTAAAAATTATATGTTTAATTGAACTTTTTAATATTTATAAAAGTTATGAAGTATTAAAATTGAAAAATTTATAACAAAAAATTTACTACCTTTTAAGATTTGATGAGATTCATAAACAAAAACCATATACGAATTCTCGCCTCAAACCACATGTCTAGACTTAAAATTTACATGAATTTCTCTTAAATTACAAAATTTTGAAAAGTCACNTGCTTCTTAGAATTCCAAACAAATACACCTCATAAATAACAAACGATCTTCACATGATAGTGATAGTAAAACCAAAGTGCCTATATGGGGGTGCTTTATGTCATAATAAGATTTCAAATCACCTGAATTTAGTGCATATTATTTGCAAATTGCAAGATATATCTATGAAAATTTGGATTCTTGTAATGTTATCAATCACTTTATAATTTGTCCAAGAAACAATCTATAGTAATGAATTGTTACCACTTTTAGAATAAATATATACATAAAAGGCTAATTCATACAAAACTATTGCAATTAATTTGCCAGCAAAGTGAAGTTATCACACATTTCAGTCTCCTAAATTCAAAGTTTGCCCACAACTGTGTTTGATTTTATATTGGTGGTTGATAGAGAACAATGACTACGTGAAAGTGATAAATGATTTGATGGATAAATTTATTAAATATTTTCAATAATTTTACTAACTTGTGTTACGAACTCATCAATAATTGGTAATAAATGTTGGACTATTACGTGTTATTAACTCATCAAAAATTATCTACATTTGTTGTATATCCATAAAATAAATAAATATCAAAACTTATATATAATTATTGTATCAATACATATCCATGGGTCAGACTCCAGTGAGAAAATATCTTAGTGAAAGAACTGAGATTAAGAAAACTATAGGATTGAATGATCCAACAACATATAAAAAAACCAAATTATGCTATAGAAAGAGCAGAAATTCTATGGTGCCCATATGGGCACCATATGGTGCCATAAATCTCACAATCCAACGCCTAATATCCATTCTATCAATTCCACAATGGATATTAGGCGTTGTATCGTGAAATTATGGCACCATATGGGCACCATAGAATTTCTGATAGAAAGAGTATTATGATATTTGTTCCACACCACATTCAAAAAAGTGGGACCAACTCCATATTAACACGCCTAACCTGCCGCCACCTACCAATTAAAGTTGTCATTAAAATTACTACCTCTTTTTTTTTTATAAACTAGTACAGAGCCCGTGCGATGCACGAGTTACACAATTTTAAGGCTATTTATCCAGGCTTATAATTATATATATGAATAAAAAAAAATGTATGGGATATCTATAGTACGTGACCCGTGCAAAACACGAGATATATTTATTTGGAGAATATTATATTATAAGATGCAATATTCGATAAAAGTTTATAATACGCAAGAAAATTGTACAATGTTCAATAAAAGTTTTATAATATTCAAGTGAGTCTTAAAGTCTCTTGTACAATAAGACTACTGATAAATAATATTTTAATCAATGAGTTTCCTTTCCTTGTAGCCAAATTGTGAATGTGATTTGAGGAGTACAACAAATCGATATATAGCTGACTTGCTTTTTTCATTTAGTTTTTTTTCTTTTTTTTTTATAATGAATTTAAAGATATTCTAAAATATAGCAAAAAATAATTTTTTTTATTACAATTAGGAATTTTACTAAACATAAACTCTCAATCTATGGTGTTAATCAACGTTTAAGTCTAAAAAATTAGGAATTTTTACATCTTTTAATCAACGTTTAAGTCTAAAAAACAATAGAGTTATTATAAGTTTTTTTCTACATCTTTTAAAACATTAAATATGAGCATGTTAGGGCTAGCTTGTAAAATAATTAATATATTATCTCACTAAAACATTTATACTAATAAAAATTTAATTTTAGCATATAAATTTATCCTTTGATATAAGAGAAAGTAACAGTTTTACTTATTGTTGTTCACCATATAATATTTAATTATTATTTTATTATATAATAAAAAAAGAAATATTGTTAAATAGTGTAGTAGAATTGTTATAAAATTGTATGATTTTACAATATGGATTTAATATTTTTTTATGATTTGATAATATAAACAAATCTATACTTAACTTTGACAAATAAAATAAATAAATACTTTAGTAAGTATTTAATGTATATACTAAATAGGAATATATTTGGTATAATCAAATACCAAATATAATCAAATAAGTCAAACTGTACATTTTTATTTGGTATTTGATTTTTTTATTATTAAAAACTTTTTTTTATACTTACCTTTTTAAAATAAAACAAATAAGTAAATCAATTAAATAAATAAAATATTATAATACCAAAATAGTAATGCCATTTAATGCAGTTGACTTTTCTGGATAGTAAATGTAGTAAATAGAATCTCCTTTTATATAAGTATAGATTGTATAATACGGAAATAGTAATGCAATAAATGTTGTTGACTTTTCTTTATACTAAATCTGGTAAATGGTATACCTTTTAATATAAGTATAGATGTCATTTTGGCTTTATCAACAATTGTCTAAATAAATGACGTTTTGGATCTTTTGTACATATTTTTCCATTATTACCCTTATCTAGCTAATAAATACACTACGTCTTTTCATATTCACTCTTTATATTTTCTCAAAACATCCATCTCTTTCCTCATTAATGGGGGTTATTATTGGCAAAAAAAATATTCTTAATTAGTGTGCAATTTCTCAAAAGACATCTATTAGAAAAAGGAGGGAGTAACATTTAAAATAAATAGCATGGGCCCCACGCTTAAATACACCAACATCGATATGCAATTTATCTCTTCTCCCGTGACTGCAACTTCACTGCCGCCGCGAACCGCCACCTCAGAGAGCCCAAACGGTTGTCTGTCGGCAACCTAACCACCACTCGCCGCCGCTCTCGACGAATTCGAACCACCCTCGCCGCCGCACTCAACGGGAGCCGAACCACACACTGCCGGCGGTCACAACACGCAGCACAACCTCCAGCCATCGCGTCGTCTCAATAGACACCATTCTTCGCTGACCCGTACTCATCTCCGGCGACCTCCGCCATTCATTTGGAAGAGCTACAGGGTGGAGAGCTTTGAACGGCGCCATCGCCGGATGGTCCGCCTCCGCCTCGCCGACGATTGAAGACAGGAGGAGGCTGAAATCTGACGGGAGAAGGTTGTTTGGTTTTGGGCTTCTTTTATGAGAATTAGACTATGTTTAGGGACTTAGATGTAAATTTAATAATTTTGTTTAAAATTCAATTTAACTCATGGATCAAATCTATAATTTACAAAAAGTGTATAAAAGTATATTATTTTTATATATCTTTTAAATACATAACATAATAAACAAAATATTAAATAAAATAAGATCAAATATTAAAATATTATTGAACACATTGTACATTATTAACTGACCGGTTGCACTTTTGTGTTAGCGAGATTGCGCCTTACCATAAAAAATTGTAAAAATATTATTTTGAATATATTTTTTATACATATACAAATTATGTATTTTTCAACAAAAAAAATTACATAAAATATTTAATAAAAATAGTAAAATAATAAATAATTACTTTCAGTTATTTAGATTAATTTGGTTGACTATTCGAAATAAATCAAATATATAAAAAAACAAGTGCACTTGGAGTGCACATTAACATCAAATGGATTGTACATTAGTGACTGTCAGATTGCACTTTAGCGAACAAACGTTCGACCGAACTAAATTCTTGTGATCTTAGTTTATATTTTGATCAACTATCTTTGTTATTTCAAAATTTTGGTAATTTCGATTCGAGTACGAATTTTTTTTTAAAATCAAATCGAACAAACTATAAAAAAATTATTATTTTGTTATATATATATGTCAATGCCGGAAGTCAACGGATTTCGCCAGAAGTCAACGGTCAACGCTGGAAGTCAACGGGTCAAAATAATATTTAAATAATTAAAATAATAAAAAGAAAAGAGTAAATCTTGGCCACACATGATGTACCAAATCTTGTGGCTAAAAATGAGTGTCACGTCCTCACTTTAAATAAGTGGATGCATTGGAACCAATCCCTATACATATATATATATATACATTATATATATATATATATATATTTAATGTAGGTATTTATAATAAAAGATAAAGATAAAATATTAACTAATTAAAACATTATAATACTAAATATATTTTATAATACATATTATAAATTATTTTGACTATTTAGGTTAAAGCGGCTAATCAATCACATAGACCAATCATTTTGGGCTTATTTTGGATTGGAACAACTACTTAAAAAATAGTTGTAGTTCGAGTGCACATTTATATTAGGCCGATTGCACGTTAGTGACAGGCGTAATGCACTATATCGATCGATCCACATCTGAAATAAAATTATTGATACAAATTTTATATTTTTTTGATTCAATTAACTATTCGGTACCTTTAAATTTATGGATATTTCAGCCTGATGTCGAATGTATTTATTAAAATAACCAAATCGATTGAAATATATAAGCATATGTTTAAAAATCACATTAATTTTTGAACTGCTTGTGCACACACAGTATTGTGCAATCACTAAAATTTTAATAGTTTCTTATAAAATGATAATATTATCTTAATGTGCATATGTACACCCCATAATGTGCAATTTACTCATTAATATGATGTATTTATTAAAGTTTAATAAATTACAAATTGAACCCAGTACTCAATCGAAAAATAGTTAACTTTTTTTAATTTGCATATTAGTCCTTAAGCATTATCAATTTTAGAAAGGAAGTCCCTCAGCCCCTAAATCACAGTCACCTCCGGCGGCCAGTTCCTACCACCTCTCCACCGCACAAGGCAATCGCCACTGGAGCATCCCGCACCACAGTCGCCGTCGGCGCCTCTTGCTCTGCCTCCGCGCAGACCTTGGCACACGTAGCATAACGCATCTGCTCTCCCGCTCCTCCGCCGTTCTCCGGCCACCATCGTCGACGTAGATGCCCTCCGTCGACCACCTCTGTCCGCTAAGGTCTCTCCACCCAAACGCACCATCTACACGGCGACAAGCACCTTGACGAGATCTGCTAGGAGGCTAGTTGTAAATAGCCATGGAGGACGACGGCAGTAGGCTGGTTACATTGACGGAGCTGGTTCCGCTGGTGTTCGTCGAAGGATAAACACAGACTTGCCGGCGTGAAGCTTGGACATTGGCTGGCCGGCGTCTTTCTGCGGTGAAATGGACAATCGTGTTTGTGGCGGACGGCGGCTGTCCCTGGTGGCGACCGGCAGAGCTGCGTCGGACGTCGGAGATGGCGAGCTTCATTTTCCGGTGGGAGAACTCAGGAGACGCGAGAGCTTCATTAGTGGAGAAGTGTGTGTGTGTGTGTATGTGAGAGAGAAATGGAAGATTGGTGGAGTAGAGGTGGGGACCGCATGTAATGTGAATACAAATAGGTAATTATCACTTTGTCCTTATTTAATGGTTAAATGTGTACATTTGACCCTAAAGTGTATACTTATTTACGAAATTGTCATCACATGTTTAACACCAATATTTAAATTTTGACTTAATCTTGACCATTGATACATTGTATCCAAAAGTGTATACTTATTCTCATTTGTTTAACTATGATCCTAAATCACATATCCATAAAACAAATACATTTTAAAAATATATTAATACATCAATAATGAATAGACCATGCATGCTCCATATAAATTTTGATTTGTCCATACTCTTGCAATCAAAACTTCAAAATCCGAAAATTTAGCGTTATTTTAACTTTATACTTTGGGAATTTTATGACTAAAATACATTTGTTTCTTACCTGCCACATTTTAGATTTAATCCAACCAACAACCATAATTTACTAAAATTTGAAATCCAGCCTTTTATTTTTATTTTTCTTAGGAAACGCACACGACCACTAGTATGACCAAATAAGCTCACCGAACATACCACCAAACAATCTCACAAAATTACAAGTTTTTACATATTTTGAGCAATAATGGGGTTTGGTCCAAACAACAAAAATGAAAAAAAAATGAAAATTGAAATTTGAAAATGAATCAGCATCGTGATAGTTAAGAAATCGAATCATAATTTTTTGTTCTCAAAACGATAGATTTTATAACTCCAAACGAATCATAATTGAATTATTATTTTATACTACAAACAACAAAGTCGTACCGAATTAGACTATTCGACTAGATCCTTCGGTTTTGTTTTGTTATTTTTTTTTTTAATTTTTAAATACATTTGAGTTGGGTTTGTCAAGCCAAAACTTAATGCTTGGGTACAATTTTTTCTCAAAAAATATAATCATTTTTAACCAATCATTTTTTTTAACTCAAATCTAACTCAAATTTAACTCAGCTCTACTATCCTCAATATTATCAATATAATTAAATAATATCAATCAACCATTATTACACATTCCATCAACTTTAATTCACTATTCATCTAATCACATAAGTTTAACTAACTATCAGTTCACGCCATCTCTCTTATTTTACATCAAATCAACTTTAATTACTTTATTTTAAATATTATTTTAATATAAATTCAAAACTCACTGACAACTAACCATAATATTTTTTTCAAACTTAATCATACCAAACGAAAAACTCAATCAAAATCGAAATAATTTATATCCAAGCATCCTTAAGTAGACCAAAATCCAACTTAAGAAATTAGCAGAAATCGTAACACAATACATACAAAGTTGAAAACATTTTTATTTTTATTTTTACTAAAATAAAGGAACCGAAAAATACCAAATTGAATGTTTCACCTCAATTTTTCGATTCGGTTCTACTTACCCCTCTTGTAACGTTATCAAAATGCATAGCATTTAAGTTATTAAGAGCACGAGAGCACAAAAGTATTGTCATTTTAGAAGTTCGATTTATTTTGGTGCTTGAAATTGAAGTGAAAGACTTTGAACCGAGTTGAGTTCAATATTGGATTCATAAAATAAAATTGACTGGTTGTTTCATCCCATAAATGCATACATAAGTAGTTGCAGACTTGCAGGTCTGACTTTTATCTACCACATAATTTTTTTTCAAGAATTTTTCACAGCCAATTCTACCCAATTATTATAAAAATCGGATCTTTTCTTTAGTATATAAATTAATGACGAGGGTTTTTCAGTATATAATTGTTGTCTCAACTCTCAGTAGCTCTCACCCACCACAAATAGGTAGTTTGGCGCGTGCTGGGTGGTGGTAGGTGGGGAAAAATGTCTTCCCACGGCGACCCTGAGGCGGCGCAGGCACCCCTTTTGTCACGGAAGCCGCTGCCTCAAGCGGCGGCGGCCGAGGCGCGGTGGTGGGGCAGGGCCATCGACGTGGAGGAGGCCAAGGGGCAGGTGCTGTTCGCGCTGCCGATGATACTGACCAACGTTTCGTACTACTTCATCCCGCTCGTCTCGGTCATGTTCGCCGGCCACCTCGGAGACCTCGAGCTCGCCGGCTCCAACCTCGCCAACTCGTGGGCCGCCGTCTCTGGTTTTGCCCTCATGGTAACTTCAGGGGAAAGATAGATTTTCTTTTTTAGGATTTTTCATATTTGTGTCTGTTTATTAAGTGCTAAATGTGGTTGGTTCACTTTCTGTGGGATTTCAGGATTTATTATCATCTGTGTTTAAGGCTATATAGCCCATCAAAATTCTTGTGCGATGCAGTCTAATCGTTAGGCCGACCACCCATCAATCATCATGCTTTTTCAACAAAAAATGCTCACGTGCTGTGAATTGTCTTATTTTTGTTCATGTTGTGTTCTAGACTATGGAATTTCAGATTGAAAGTACTTATATTCGAATGTGTACCTTAATCATTCGAAGAATTATTGCTATTTGTGTTCATTCATTATGGTATGAATGTGAAATTGAATGTTCAGAAAAATTACTGCCCACATTTGGAATTGTGTGATGATACTGAGTGGTGAGAATATAGTGGTGCTCTGTGCTTGCCTTTCTGTATTTGCACTATTATTTTCGTGTTTCCTGCAGTAAAATTAGGCGTAAATTTAGTAAAAATGCCACCATTGACATTTACAATTACAGCAAAAGGTGGCATTTTTCAAGCACAAAGTGGAAATGTCTCATTTCTTCAAATATCCCTTAATTATCGACAATGGAATTTATGTTTAACTGCAGCTGGTTATTATTTTCTCTCTTTGGAGATGAAATAAACTATTCTTGTTCTGTTGCGAGAAAAAAAAAAAAAAAAGTTAACCAAAATCTCGACTAAATCCCTTCAGGTCGGCTTGAGTGGTGCTCTCGAGACGCTATGCGGACAAGGGTACGGTGCAAAAATGTATAGAATGCTCGGAATATACCTCCAAGCTTCCTGCATAATCACTATAATCTTCACAGTCATAGTATCCGTAATCTGGTGGTACTCGGACATTATTCTAACATTACTCCATCAAGATCCTCAAATCGCAAAAGCAGCCGGTCTCTATTTAAGGTATCTCATCCCAGGACTTGTGGCTTACGGCTTCTTGCAGAACATTTTGAGGTTCCTCCAAACGCAGTCCGTCGTGATGCCACTTGTCGTGTGCTCATTGGTCCCTCTGGCGGCTCACATTGGGATTGCCTATGGTTTGGTTCATGGGACGTCACTTGGGTACAGTGGGGCCCCACTGGCAGCTTCGGTCTCGTTGTGGGTCTCGGTTGTTATGTTGGGTTTTTATGTGATTAAGGACAAGAAGTTTAAGGATACGTGGACTGGGTTTTCTTGGGAGTCGTTTGGATATGTGTGCTCGAATTTCAAGTTGGCTTTGCCCTCGGCTGCCATGGTATGGTGAGTGGTTCTTCTCTCTTTGGTTTAGAGCTACCAAATTTTTGGAGATACTAATGGGTCTTTCTTATGCACGTGCGCTTCAAGAGTAGTGTCTGCTAATAGACTAAATTGCATTTTTAGTCCTGCTGGTTTAAAGCCATAACATTTTTAGTCTCAAGATTTTAACATTTTGCCGTGATTTAATATTTTGTTGCAATATAAATTTCCAAATTTATAGATTTTTTGTTAACAATTTAAGTCCTATAATTTAAAATTTTGTTGCAATTTCAATCCTGTTGTTTAAAATTGTATTGAAGTTTCAGGACTGAAATTGCAGCAAAATATTAGATCATAGGACCAAACGCCAAAAAGTTTGGGAATATTGGGACTAAAATTGTTATTAAACCCACATGATAATTTTCATTCTTTTATGTATTCAGTTAAGTAGAAGGGTAGGATTTCGGACTTTTGCAGTTTTACCCCCATCTAAGCTGAACGTAACACTTAATGTGTCGATTTCTCTGATTCGATACGAACACAAAAGGTGTACGATTTTTTTTTATTTATATTTTTTTTCATTTTTGTTCCTTTTTATGCGAGCTATGGCTTGATGAAATTATGTTTTTTCCATGTTGTCATTTGTCGAACCAGCCTCGAGTATTGGGCTTTTGAGATTCTCGTCTTGCTGGCCGGGTTGATGCCGAACTCGGAAGTTTCAACTTCATTAATTGCAATGTGGTAAGTTATATATTCTACTGTTTATATTTCTACCATTTACTGTTCTTGTTAAGGTTTTTGATCAAGCTGTAAAATTATATTTTACAGTGTAAATACAGAAGCCATAAGCTACATGGTCGCTTACGGTCTCAGTGCTGCTGCCAGGTAATTGAAACGCAACGAATTAATTTACGATTTTTGGGTGAATTACGAAAACTTTGCCCGACATAATTACGGAAGTAGCCTTATAAGTTTCAGAAATACAAAACCACCCCTGCAGATTTTGCTACTATATCACAAAATGAATCAACTGTTTGTAGTATCTTTACAAGTTTAAAAAGGAGGGAACTTTTGAAATTCTTTTGGTTAAAAAGCTTTACAAGTTTAAAAAAGGAGGGAACTTTTGAATTTTTTTTGGTCAAAAAGCATAAGGGGTAGTTTTTGTGATTCACCATGCAACTTTTCGAATCATGCTGCCTCAGACTTTTAGGAGGGTATATACGTTTGGGATTTTAAGACGTTTTAAGACATTTTGATATTTTAAAACCTTTTTAAAATTTTGAGATTTAGGTGGTATTTGTATGAGATTTCGTATAAGGTTGATTTAGGTTCTAAGGTATTTGTTTGTGAAATTTCAACAAATCTTAAAAAGCCACAATTAAATAAGTTAAATACTTCGTGATTAGTTAAGATTTTTTGAAATCTCAAATGAATACCTCAAAACTTTCAATAATTTCAGAAAATCTAAATTAAATACACCAGATTCTTAAAGTCCCAGCAAATCTTTAATACTCCCAAATTAATATACCCCAATTAGTATAAACCTAGTTGATTTACTATTTTCAGCACGAGGGTGTCGAACGAGTTGGGTGCAGGAGAGCCTGACCGGGCCAAACGGGCCATGGCCGTCACTCTTAAATTGACCTTCATTCTCGCCCTTTGTGTCGTCTTGGCATTGTCGTTGGGCCACAACCTGTGGGCCCACAGCTTCAGCAATAGCCCCATCATAATCGAAGCCTACGCCTCCATGACGCCATTTCTCGTTTTATCCATTTTGTGCGATTTCGTTCAAGGAATCTTATCAGGTTTGTCGAAATTTACTAACTGAAAATTCTATCAACCAATTGATTAAGCTTATATTTGTTTTGATATTAAGCTAGTTTCTCGAGGTAGTTTTTCAACACACGATATTGAAATTTTTTTATTTCAACCGTAAACTATCGACTATAATCTCAAAATTTCACGTATTAACTATCGACTAACTTATCATCTATAACTATTTTTTTTTAATCTAGATTTACAAACACACTCTAAGTGAAATGAAATTCTACTAGATATTTTTTCAAAAGACGATGTTGATTTTATTTATTTTTATTTCAGTTGATGTATCTCATCTAAGTTTACCATATTTTTTTATTATATTAACTATTTCTCAGCTGTAAGCTATCGTATTATAAGCTTGAAATTTTACTTATTAACTATGGACTAACTTATCGACTATAACTAGTTTTTTTTTTAATCTAGATTTGCAAACACACACTAAATGAAAGTGAAATTTTACTAGGGGTGGCAAGAGGCTGTGGCTGGCAGCATTTGGCAGTGTTTATCAACTTGGGGACATTCTATCTCATTGGCATGCCCATTGCTGGGCTGCTTGCTTTCAAGTTGGGCCTGTATGCTAAGGGATTATGGATTGGGTTGATCTGCGGCCTGTTTGTCCAGATGTTGGGCCTCTTGTTGCTCACGAAGTTTACAAAATGGACAAGGGTAGAGTTGTCTAATGGGCCTTGATTACTTAATCGTTTATTTTGTAACAAACCTAAATCAAATGATTTAAGCCGAATTGTGTATTCATATTTTTTTTTTCAGTACGCCATTTTGTCGTTGATAATATGAGAATAAATAAAAAATATGGTCAATAATCAATATTACTTGTTACCTCCATTTCTTTTTTGCATAATTTTGTTATGTGATTATTTTTGCCAACAATTAGCATATTTTGGGTGGTTTTATAAGCGTTTGCACAATGTCAATATTAGGGTAATAAACTAATAATCATGTTAAGGGGACTTAAAACCTTACTCTCAATCAAATTCAGTACGGAAAATAAATAAATGGAATATTTTCTAAAGGTAGTCATTCATTTTTTTTTTCTTCAAGTAATGTAATTATGTAAACATAGTATGCAATAATCCGGAAACAAATCAAATTAATAGTTTTAAACAAATATACATTATGAAAAATATACTTGAATAATGTAAAAATACGCAATTTCAATAAATAAAAATGAAAGGTATCCATTATATTACATATAACAACTCATCAAATCCCGCTGTCGTGGGTACGATAGGTACGAATTAATATGTCAATCAACCGATAAGTAGAAGATTAACATATCACACCATACACAGCTGTTATGTCATTCAAATATCGTGACATCTTCTCACGTGTATGTCTCGTAAACACTTTAACATGCACAAGGTGTGTTTATTCAGAAATTCTATGGTGCCCATATGGGCACCATATGGTGCCATAATTTCACGATCCAACGCCTAATATCCATTGTGGCACCATAATTCCATAATTCCATAATGGATATTAGGCGTTGGATCGTGAAATTATGGCACCATATGGTCACCATAGAATTTCTGGTGTTTATGAGCATTTCCAACCAATTGAAATTGATAGCATTATCTCAACAGTTAGATGAATATTACGCATATCTAACAGTTAGATAATCATACTTTTTTAATACATATACATGATTTCAAACTAAAAAAATGTCATATTTTTAAAACAACATAACAAAGTATGACATTTCATAACAAAAATATGCATTTTTTTTAAAAAGTATGATAGGTCAACTCGCCTAACCGTTAGCATCTCAAATAAGAATTTGTGCCATTTCAATATTTTCCGTTGAGTCTCTACATTCTTGCCAAGTGTACATCTCCATTTCAAGGAAAAAAAATCTCAATTAGGGATAAAACCTAAATTTATGAGCCAAGCATGAAACTTTATTGCCAAGATTTATTACTCTCTTGCATATTTTTGCAACGGTAAACTCTACACTAATCCTCCTATAAATTTCCAAGTACGTTTCACCATTTTTTGCATGCACGTAATTCTTTTATTCCTTCTTATTCTATACATCAGTTTCAATCCTCCTTTTTTTTCCTTTTATTTTCTGCAAAATATCTCTACATTTTCTTTATCATCCATAGGTGAAATAAAACAAAAAAGGGTCTCTTTACATTTTCTTGTTATTTAATTTTCGCCATGGCTGGTCGTAAGGTTTGCTCGTTTCTAACGTTTTTCGTGTTATTTTCGTACTCTTCTAGTGGGTTTCAATTCAATGTTGGGGGCAAAGATGGATGGAAGATAAACCCTTCTGAGAGCTACAATCATTGGGCTGAAAGATTGAGATTTCAAGTTAATGACACTCTATGTAAGTTTTTTTATTTCTTTCTTTTTATTTCTTTCTTTTTTTTTCATTCTTTTTTCTTGCTCCTTTTCTTTTCTTGTTCATTTTTCATTTTTCTAAAAAAGAAAAAATATTTTCTTACACCTTATGAGTTATAACCACAAGACACCACTACAAAAAAAAAAAAATCATACTCCAATAGATCCGATCAACGGTAAATATTAATCTAGAATTTCTGTAAGAATATATATTGGAATTTGATGATTTGCAACAATAATTTTTGTAACAGTTTATTGTTGTAAGAATTTACTTCTGAATTATTCTTTTTTTCATCGATAATTCCAAGGTTTGGAAAATTTTCCATTGAAATAGTGAAAATCCAACTAATTAAAATTTCAATAAAAGACTAATTGCAATTAGACATTTTAATTTTTCTATGACCCTAGCTTGCATTCACTCAACACACACCATTTCCAATACTTGTACTAGGAAAGAAATGAATAAAACATTTCAAGGGAGTTACTTTTAAATTAACCAATTTTTAATTAAATTAACACGAATTCTTGTAGGTGGTCTAATCGGTACGCTTTGTATGAGGCTGTCTAAATTATATGAGTCAAATTTTTTTAATAAAAATAAATATGTTATAAAATGTAAAAATTTGTTTATGTCAGTTTGAAAATTTGATGCAAAATATGGCAGTTTGTTATACATATTATTAGAATTATATATACTGATATTTATAATTTGAACATGATTTTGTATTTTACTGTAGTATTCAAATACAAGGAAGGCTCAGACTCGGTGCTGGTGGTGGACAAAGACGATTATACCCTCTGCAACACCGCAAACCCTATAGCAAAATCCGACGATGGACAATCAACCTTCAAATTCGAACGATCTGGACCGTTCTTTTTCATCAGCGGCAACAAATCCAGCTGCGGCTGCGGCCAGAAGCTCGTCGTCGTCGTCCTAGCCGTCAGGAGCAGCCGCCCACCGTCGCCGCCGCCGGAGGCTCCGTCGCCAACCCCACGGGTCGGAGAGCCTCCGTCTCCTGCCAGCTCTCCGGCTGAGGCTCCGGCGCCGGAGGACAACCCGTCGGCGAATTCTACGCCGGCGGCTCATCCGCCGCGCCGCTCATTTGCGGCCGCAGCAGGGTGGGGGCTCACGGCCGTGATGGTGCCGGCGGTTTCGGCTCTCATAAATGTCTGCTTGGCTGTGTGATTTGGGTTTTAGTGGAATTATTTATTTCTTCTTTTTTTTTTCGAATTATTTCAGTTTTTAATTTAGGGGATTAGGAATGTTTTGTGGGGGCGTTAGTTTGTGTTATTAGTGGTCATTTATTAGTATGCTTTAAGTTGGGATTTATGAATTGTCTATTAATTGTTTAAAATGTTCCACATTTTGTTAGTTTATTACTTTGACTAGTATTCGACCTTGTGCATTTGCACAGATATAAATAAAATTAAATATTATAAGCTATTTTTATGTATATAATATAAAAATTATAAGTTATATAATTGTATTATATTTCAAATATATAGTATTATAAGTTATATTTAGGTATATAATATTAAAATTATAAATTATATAATAGTATTATATTTTAAAATTTGATCATTGGTTAAAATAAATAGTACACACGATTTGATTGTATACGAATTACTATATTAATTGCATAAAATGCAATAAATATATACTTTTTATAATTGTGAGTGATCATGACCAATTAATTAGCTGAAAAATATTGCATTTATTATAACAATTGCTTATGTGATTTTGAGAAATTTTAATATGACATAAAAAAAATTAATTTATTAATAAACAACATCTTCATCATATAAAAAAATATTGATTTTAATGTAAAATATAATTTTATGTAACTTTCATATATTATTTAGTATAAAATATAATTACTAATTTTAATATTAACTATTATATTATTCAATAAAAAATATAATTATTAATCAATTAACATAAAATATAATGGTTTTTGTCTTAATTAACCCAAAAAATGTAATGAAATATTTTCTTATTAATGAGATTGAGTGTATTAATGCCACATAAATAAAATTTATTAGGTTCTATTTATTAGGTTTTATTAATAATTTGCCACATAGGTAAAATTTATTAGATTTTATTTATTAGGTAAAATTTATTGCTTAGCTAACAATTATATATATATGGATTATTCATTTAAGATTAATCGTATTGAACTAAAAGAGCATTTTATTGGGCAAAATGTGTTGTGTTATACAGTATTAAGTTATTAACTATAAGAGGGGAACTTTTTAGTGATTTGATTTTAAGGTCAATTTTTTGTGATAATGATACTGACTTTTCCTTTTGCATGGATGTCATATATGCACACATTATGTTAATTTTTATTTTTATCCATAACTTTTACTCATTACTATCAAATTTTAATGCATATTATTTTGAATTAATTGTATTTACAGTCTCAACAAAAATAAAATATTAATTTATTTATTATCAATTAATAATTTATTACAATTGGAATATCTACAACTTAATTGCATTTTAGTTAAATTTACCAACACATTCTACAACAAGTAGAATTTACCTAGTAATAAGTATTTTGATGGATATGAATATCTTACAAATTATCCAAGAGTATAACTAACTTGAAACATGATGATAACTGAGAGAACATGAAACAAATACATACCTACTTAATAGAAATATAGAAATAAAACACATAAAAAATAGTTTTCTTTTAATAATTTTGTGCATGACTTCAACTGAAAATTACAGTGCCAAACAGTCCAAACTCCAAACTCAATCAATCGAAATAAATATATAAATTGTCCGTTTCTTATCAAACAAAATAACAAATAACGGATATAAAAGTTGGAAACCAGAATATATACAGAGAAGTTTTTTAAAAAAAAAAATTATAAATCAAAATCAAAATAAAACTAATAAAACTAGATGTCATTAGACCATAAAGGTCACCTAGTTTTGTGCTAAGCTCCTCTTCTTCTTTAGGTCATTCTTACCCAAGATTAAATGAAACATATGACCTATTTCCCCTAGACGATAATAGCACGATAATATAAAGATTGTCATCAAAGATATTAAACTAAGGAGCAAAACCACAGCAAGAAACAAATAAACAAAGACCTTAGTACAGAAACAATTACATAAACAACACAAGACGAGTTTTTTGATGCAATTATTTCAACTAGTCACCAGGTCTTGTTTGTCTAATTTCCCTCGTAACTCTCTCCAATAATTTCGATTCTAGCAGTAGTCGGCCATACTCGCGCTGTGCTTCTCGTACTTCTTCCGTTAAACGCGACAACTATTTAGACAAAAACATTTCTTTTTTATGTCGAGTCAAAGTTAAAATTTGTAACGAGTAGTTTAATTAGTTAACCAAAGAAATTTAATTTTATTTCTGTCGAGCTACCCAAATGGAGCACTTGTTCTTTAAAAAAGAATGTTGATCTGAAGTACCTTGAGATCGAGTTCTTCGCCCGCCTTCTCAAACTCATGGCACCTAAATACAAAACAGATGCAGACATGAGGGCTTAAGTCGAGAAGCTTATAACTATCTGTAATATAATTTGGCTCAAGATAAGTGTATTTGATCCCACATGAGTTTGAAACAGCTATTGCAGGCAGTGGACTAAGGATTTTATGCTTCAATAAGTCAATTTTCATGATAAAGACTTACTGGGCACGGAGACTTCGATTTTCTTCAATTATTTTAGCAGCTTCTTGGTCATTCAACTGTTTTGCAGAATCAATAGCATGCTACATAAAATGAGATAGATTATCATAGAACAATTCTTGACATAGCACAAATATTTTCAAACAGTTTCTATTAAGAGTATCGATAAATGATGAAAAGAAAAAAAAAAAAGAATCAGCACATTTCCACCAGAAAGAGTGCCTACCCTCTTCAACCTTCCAGGCACCACAACATGGTCTTGTCNGCATATATTATTTATATATATATATATAATATATACTCGACCTCAATATTTGACTTACCAAGAGAATTTTGATGACTAGACAGTAAGGTCCTCCCAGATTTTGCCCCCACGTGATTGGATGGGACATCTATTTCACGCATTTTAGCTCCGGCTGCAAAAGATGATTTTGCACCTATATCTTTGCCCAGCACAACTGGTTTATATATACCGTGGCTAAGCGCAGAACTGGAGGCGGTATTAGGTATCGTGCCTGGTCGAGGTGCTTTAATGACTTGATGATACCCAAGGAGTCCACAATGATAATCCCTGCCAAACTTCAACAATGCTTATATGAAGATAAATGCCATTGCACCATTTGCCATGATGTACAAATATTTACCTTCAAACAAGAAAGCTATTGTACCTTGCTTATCAAATATTTCAAATAAAATCATACTGGCTAGAATATGAAAGTATTCGATAAGGGGCCAGGAAATAATAGATATTGTCGAAATTGGTTCAAACTTAAGCCATATTCCATTTGTTGTTTTGTCAAATTAATCACTAACCAGTATTCTAGTGTCATTTCTTTCAGGCGGGTTTCGAGCTTTTGGAAAACTGAAGTCTTCTCAAACTCCTGCTTGTTGTGGGTAGGCTCAATAAAATTTGCTTCTAAAACGCCTGTCATCTATGTAGTATTAGTGACATGCTGATGTAATCTGGACGAAAGACGTAAAGAGAGCAATGGAGTTTTTACCCACAACACCTCTGCCTCGGCTGCGTGCATACGTAACGACATGCCAAAAGGGCTGCGTGGTAATAGACAGTAACAAGGATGTAAGATGTAGGTGCAAATAAAATATAAACCATGTAAAATGTCACTATAAAATCCTCTGATATATTTTTCCCCCTTTTTAAGAATGGCAGAGGTCAGGACCAATCTTTCATCATCATCATGCAGCAAAAAGTAAGTAGAATAGCTTTGTAAATTGAAGTTAGCCGAAAAGGATAGTGTTATATTCCAGAAAGTTGTTCTCACTAAGGAATAACAACTAACCCCTCTATAAAAAATTATGGCAAACAATTTAAGAGTCAAGAGTGATGAATTAAAAGCAGTCACCAGTATCAATCTATTCTTGTGGTAGACATTAAAGCCATGAATATTAACTGCTGGAGCTTCCTTCAGAAAGCCAATTGTTGTCAGGACCGAACCCTGCACAATCAAGAAAGTACCGATAATGTCCATATAATTGAGGTTATATCTTATTATGTGTATGTGCAGCTTGGTATTGTCTGTTCATATGATCTGTACCTCTGTGCTTGTTATCTGCCTACGCTGCATGCTGGTGGTATGCATGCAATATGAGAAATTCTTATTATTGACAATGTGCAATTTTGATTTTGAAAGTAATGAATTCTTTCAATTTGATAATCAATCCAGTACAAAAATACCATGTGGTAACACTCATCCTTTAGAAGAGTGTTGTACTAGTTAAGATCCATATACCTCTTACTTTCGTAGGTATTTAGTATCCAGTCCCCATGTAATCATATATAAATCCAATCTTACAAATTAAAGTTTCCAATTTCTCATGGCCCCTTCCAGTTGAGAAAAAATATGTTCAGGCTAAAATAACCTCAAAACAGGATATAGATACAAATTCATGAAAACCATGGTATAGTGTTAAACCGGAGAAGTGGGAGTTGGTATTGTTGTTTCTAGAAAAATAATTCATATAGAGTTGGTGGTTGACAGCTGGTTCTAAATTACTATGTTAACTTTTTATGAATGAATTCTAAGTTCTAACACGAAACTTTTATTTAACAATTAGACACAACTAAAACATATAAGAAAATATCTGAAAATCGAAGGGAAAAAAATCAGAATGTGATGGATAAAATATCACATAATTAATAATACTTTTTTTATCATTATATTTCTAAAAACATATAAAAATATATTTATGCATATCAGAATATATATTTTACAAAGTTAAAAGAAAATTTCTCCGTATAAAAAACTAAGATCCATAACCCAAGTACCCGATTACCCTTTATAGACCAAATCTAATAAGCTATAAGGAGCTAATTGGGAGCCTATATAAGGAACTAATTTGGGTGAATTGGTTAACAACTATCCCAATCTGTTCTTGGCCACAATTGTATGGACGCATCTAGGAACACCTCCAAACATAATTTCACTGCCACTCAGCTAGCATACAACATGCATAGTGAAAATAATCTATCGTGCATCATCACTACTAAACCGACATACACAAAAACCTTATTTCCAATTTTCACACAAGCATCCCTATGATTCAAATATCCCTATTCAAATAGTACAAATGCAAATATCTCAACGACAATCATGGTTTTCAAAATCTTGAAACCTTCCTTTGAATGCCGACCGCATTTATCTTTAGGTTACGTCCAATCTAATCCTATTTAAACCAACGTACCCACCTACTTTCAAAGACCAACTTAACATACCTAGTCTCTAGGAAAGTTATGCCATATACATGAACAATGATCGAAACAACACCATATGAACCTATACTTTTTGAGAGGTATGTTTTGTGTGCTAAGACACTCTCTAAAGCAAAAATTAGCTTGTGTATATGGGTGCACTTTAGTGATCATTACTCAAATCATAGTCATATCAATCTCCTCAATCATCCTTTGGTAAACCTGACCTACATGTATGTTTTTTGTGCTCACGTGCTAGCTAAATCTTAAAGTAGATTAGTGTCTACAGTGCGTCCATGTATGTGGATCTATATTTTCTTATAATATTTGAAGCAATCTATGAACCATCCGCTGCTAAAACGAACCCCTACCTCTACGTTCTGAGGTCGGTACAATATAAATTCAGGATATTTGAGATCAGTTGCAATGTTATGATACTCAACAGCTCGTCCACGCAATAATATGCAGAAGTTCTCTGGTGCTCGTAAGTATAAAATGGATAAATATGCCTGCGAAGACCAATTATTACAGTTAAAAGATATGAAATAATATTTACAATTTTATCTAAGCATCCATACAAGAATTTGTTTTCATCAAATAATTAGGAAAGGCATCTTATATATGGAGTAGCATCATATATGCATCACATAACACGTGAGCCTTGTTTGCAATAAACAAGCAGTCCTGCCCACGGCCCTAATCAAACAGTACAAAATAACATGTTGAGAGATAGTTGCTTTGTCCGCAGAATGGTATTCACAGTGAACAGATAGAAGACTTGTTCACAAAGACTCTGGGAGTACTAATAGCTCACATGTGACAAGCTTGACGCGTGCAATTTAATGTACTGATGATTATTCTAACACGCATTACCACTCCTCCCTAACCCAACTATTTTCAACCTCACATCCATGCAATAATTCTTCGAGTCCGACCCTTCACACATGGAGTGTGCTGATAGTATGATTTGATACTCGGTGTTTTTACTCGATACAATGTATTTAGAGGTCAGTTGTACTGAATGCCACATGACTGGGAACTGTACCTTCAGATTCCAGAGTGAATCTTAATATATCTCTAGCCTATTCCTGAATCTATGGGTCGACAAGTGACCTTGGTATAGAAAATAATCATATGAATAACTGTAGCTGAATAAACTTACACGTAGTGAATAGTGAAGACGGTTAGCAAGATGGTTTTCATTTGTGTCCTTCCGAGAAGCACCTCTTGCAGTAACGTTATCTTTACCAGATAAACGAATATCCTGATGCCATTTAATTAAAGCTCATATCAAAACTGATACAGTATGTTCCATAATTTTTCCTTTTTTTATTGGGGGGTAATTTTTGCAGTAAATCCAACAATGCAGAAAATTAGGAACCAACACAAACCTCCTTATCTGACTCAAAATCAAGTTCCAGTTTTCCTTCATCGTTTTGCCATAAATTGTAAACAATTATCTTGGTACCATGGGGGCCTATGTCATCACACTGCAACACAAGAATAATGTGTGAATTAAGTTCACAAGGTGATAATACGGCAAAAATGGAATATGAATTTCTCCTGAAAAGAAAAATGCAGAAGTCAAAAACTCACAAGAGCTATGCAAAAAGCTATAAAAAAATGTGAAAGCTATACTCACATGCTTCAGAAGTTCGGCTTCTGTGGTGACTGGAGACCACTTCAACAAGATAGAAAGATTATTCTTAAGTTGTTGTTCACTGTGTAATGTTTTCCATGTGCTACTACCAGCGTCAAACACATAATCAACCTGAAAGAAGAGGGAGAAATTTGATCATTTAGGTATGTCCAGAGGAAATTAAAACATTATATAATAATATGAAGAAACTGCGTTCATAATCATCCTAAGAAAGGTGGATAGAACCCAAAAAAGGCAGCAACTGTCCATGGAAACAATAAAATAACCAAACTCTAGTGGGGATTAAATTAAAAAAAAAAAAGAAAAAAAGAAAAAAAAGAAGCTCACCATTGGGACAACTATTCTATCTTGTCTTGTTTGCATTAAAAACGTATAAGATAGCAGACCAACACTTTGGGTCAATCTCCTGGTTAAAGAAATAAAAATAGATAATTACGATAAAAGTCAAAAGACAAGGACGAACTAAACACGGTCATATAATTTTTTATCATGTCAAAAGAGCAAATAAATATCAACCTATGCATTCTCAACATAAGACGTGCAGGAAAAAACCTACGATCATGTAATTTTATGATGTCAAAAAAACAAAAACATCTCAACCTAAGATGCACAAGAACAAAATATGGTCACCGCAGTTCTGTGCATTTTTTTTCCTAACTGTCAAATGCTTATCTCAAATGTGACTCGACGAGATGCTTCCAAGAACATATCCATCAATGGACTTCGAGGAAGAGGAATATGGAGAAGTGAACACAAATCACCAAGCATTCCCAAATAAAATGCAATAACAATCTCATCCTTTGTTTATACGTTCGTTTATTACATTTTGGCCAAAAAAAAAAAATTACAAAACGGTGACATTGTAGAGACTGTTTCCTATATCCTCGCATATTTAACACAACAAACTCAAAGCAACAATGAATTCAGGACCAAGAAAGGGGCAGAACATATAAAATATATACGAATGCAAAAGTCAAAGAAACCTGGAACTTTTGCAACGGCTGAAGACAATAACATCAGCCCCAAGTCTCATAGAGCTGGTCTTAAACCCGTTTCCATCTGAAAATGCTCTATCAGTCAACATCACACGATCCGTGATGAAAAAGATAAAGAAGAAAAAATCATCTTCATACTCACACTGTCCGATAGCATCTTTCGACTTCTTATCTGAAAACCCAAAACTAAGGCAACGCCGCATTGCTTCAGGATCCATACCACCACCATCATCTAGTATGAAAAATAATAATTGCAATTACTATCTTTGAATTTATCGAGTTGCAAAATAATAATAATAATAATGATAACAACAACAACATCAACAATAACAATAATAATAATAATACCTTGTATTAACAAAGCAGGAATTCCATCCCTAGGATTTGAAGTTTTATCCACCATGACAAAGGTCGCCCCATTTTTTATCTACAAACATACAAGACATGGAACACAAGATATATTAGCATCAATGTAAAGTCACACAAGCGCTTATGCAAGCAGAGTAAAAGGCATTATTTTAGTAACCATGCCTGCATGCACGACCTTAAACGGCAGCTTCACAACAATTTCTATAAGGTAATTCAAACTCGAGTGACAACCTAAATAGGTGCTATCAAATGTCCATTATGTGAGCGTCCTTAATATATAGGTAATTTGTAAGCGAGAGACTGATAACATCGTAGAGAAGATTACACTACTTTATCTAAGCAGTCAAACAACGATTAACTGACAAAGGCAGTATTGGTTTCAGGAAAAGAAGAAAAGTAATCATGATGCATCAAATGCTACCCATCTTCAGATATTTATCGGAAAATATATAAGGAGTTATGTGTCAGAATGCAGATGTAAAGAGAAGGATATAATTCGTCTTTTATTTTTCTTTACATATATGTTTGAATATATAAATTCATGAAACCTTATAGACGATTACCTCATCCACAGAATTATCAAGCAATTCTGCCATGGCTGCAAACATCAAACAAGTAAAACGGGGTGAAAAATATCAATCAGCACTATCGGAGATGATACACATGAGCTAAAACAGAGAAATAATCAACATAAGATACCACCAAAGGCCCATTTATGTGATGTGGCATTAGAATGAAGAAATTTGGGATGAATCCGAAGATAACCAGTGCTATCTGCAAATCAAACAAATATAGCAAGAAATAAAGGTCAGATAACGCAATGTTGACCTCAATTCAATTTATTAAATTTATATCAGAAAATACGCAGAAGGATACTGACAGAAGCCAATAAATGTAAAACTATCCATTCTTTTCCATTTTCCCCTTTAGCTATATTGAACTTCATATCTCAGAATGACAAACATCATTTTAAATAAGATCAACTTCGATAAACAGATAACAAATTACTTTGAGATGATGGCTTCAAATTAAGTCTGTCGTCATAGTTTCCAGCCTTCCAAAACTGCCGACAAATGGGGGCTGGACTTATTGAGGACGTTGAGGCAAAACTCGAATCACGGGCTGGAGTCTGTTCTTCATCCAACACACTTGCAGAACCATTTCTTCTACCAAGGGAATTCGATTCTTCATGAAGAGCTGAACTGAAGTTGGTGACCTCATTTTGTTGCAAATGGCTTCTGCCAAAATCTTGCTCCAGTTTAACAGATTTCAAAACGTGCTCATTGGCCGAGGACATCAGTTCAGGTTTTTCAGCAGATTCGGCAAATCGACACAGATTCTCATGAATTAAATCAACGAAAAATTGCAAAATATATGAACACCTTTTTCTGGAGCTTGAATCCTAAACCCACATTTCCATTCTCTCTCTCTCTCTCTCTCTCTCTCTCTCTCTCTCTCTCTCTCTCCTTCAAGTCTAATTACATGAAGCTTGTCGCATATGCTGAACTACGAATTTTTTAACAACAGTGTCGATTTCACATTCAAAATTCAACAAGTAGCAAATAAAAACCGCGCAAACTGGGGGTCAAAGGAGATGCTACGGAGCGAGTTCGCCGCGTTCACCGGTGGGAGGTGGCGATATCCACGAAGACCGGAGTTCGCCGGAAATACGAACGCCCGGGCGGTGACCAGTGGTCTCCGAACGGTGAGGATGAGGCGGAGCTGCGGGCCCACGCGATGGTGATGGGAGTGTGGGTTAGGGTTTCACTTTCTCGAGCTGATCGAATTTGAGAGTGATGAAATCTATCACTGTGAGAATGAAAAAATGTTTGAAAAATTATTTCATTTTACAGCTCCAATCATTTTTTCCTCCTAATATTTTGTTTGAAATTTTTTCAGAAGTTTGAATTTTTTTTCATTTGGATGAGTTCAATATATTTTGAATGAGATTCTTTCCATATCCGATAAATTCAAGATCCTTTTAATTTGGAAAACAGATTTTTATTTTAGCAATATATTTGATTTCCTTTTTTTTTTATTTGGAGATAATCTATCCGTTAAAACAGGAAATGAATTTATAATTTATTTTGTCAAATTAAGTTTTTGAGTTAATCCTTCTATAATATGTTTGTGCGGACAGAATGCGGTAGATACAACCTCAAATGATACAAACTCAAATGAATTAAATCATACCGTACCTAAGTTCACTTTAATATATAAATTATTAGAATGATAAAAAATAAAAATTTTATAGATAACAAATAAAAATTTAAAATATGAGCTCCTACGTGCATTGCACGGGATATACACTAGTGATTCATGATATAGACGGATTAACATTCATAATCTTTATTAAAATATGAATATAAAGAACAATTATTAACATAATTTCACTAAAAAGTTAAAATATATATATATATATATATATGGTATCTTAAATACAAATATATATTATTATAATTTATAATCATAAATTCATTCGTGAAAATCATAGAACCTATAAAAAAAATAATAATATAAAATTCATTTAGTGTTTCCAAAACTATTACAAAGCTAAAAGTTACTCAACTGAAAAATTAGACACTTTATATAATAAAATTGTAAGGTATTCAATTGGAATTCTACAAAATATGAGGTAAAAGAATATTAGATATTTAGCTTTATTTATCATTAGATTTTATTTATAATATTTTTTTTATTTCGAAAACAAAACACATATATAACATAAATTCCACATTCTAGACTTAAAAGAGTGTATATTTGTTCATTATTTTAAGTGACATTTAAATACTTTTTAAAATTTGAGATTGTAAAGATTTTTAGGAGGATACATTCAGTTGAGATTTTTATATATTTTTTGAAATTTTAAGAATCTCAATATATTTAACTTAGAAATCTCAGGTCTCGTTTACTTTGAGGGATGGGATAATAATAAATAATTAGGACAACTTTATACGTCATCATTTAGTCTAACGTTTACTTTCTGGGATGGAATTGGCAGAAACGTATCCCACATTTACTTTGGTTGATTAAATCAGTCATGAACCACACAAAAGACTTGTATACCCTTATGTACGATTTGTTTTGCTCCTCTTCTCCCCCGATCAAAATTCCCTGGTCTACTGTAACATATCTTTCCCTAGTTCATCCGAGGACGTGCGCGACAAGGAGAGGCGACAACGTTGGCCTTGACGAGAAGCTGCCACAACGTTGTATAGATTACGCCTTCTTTAAAAAAAAAAGAAAAAAAAAACTCACCTAGTAACTCCAATGCTACTTTACCTTCAACCAGAATGAAATTCGAAACTTAAGTTATTACCAACGCCTTCTTCACAACAGTTCCCACCAGAGTTTCAGTAAAAAAGGCGATCTTGAGCTCTCGTCAAAAGATTCATCCAGAAACAGACGCTTAAGCAGAGGGTTCGGGCTCAACGTTCTGATTTCTTCTTCAACCCAGTCGAGATGTGCTCAATCGAACTAGGGTTTATGCAAAAACCGAAGCAATCAAACAAAGGATTCTGATTTAATCGACAATAATAGCTATGGTGTAAAATTCAAGGAGATTTCATCTGTAATACACTCTTCGAACTTACCTTCTTCCCGTTCAATGGCTTCTTCCCGTCGACTGAGACACGAGAACAAGAAATAGGGCAAATGACAGAATATCAGTTTTTATATGGTACAAATTGGTAATTAAAGTAACATTTGGGGGTAGTTTGGTCTTTTCAAGTCCAAAAATGAGGGGATAATGGGCATATGAATGCTGGG